ATTATACAAAAAAATACAGTTTATAGAATTACATTTTTTAGAATAGGTTTGCTAGAAAACACGCTATAATTGCTAGTAAACAGCATTGTAAATCAAGTCTTACGTTTTCACTCGCATTATTTCAGATAGAATCGCCAAGAAGCTATTTAGCGAATATATTTTAATAAAGAGAAAACAATGTACTGTTTCCTCTATAGAGTGGACAGTATTTTGAATTCAAATTTTTGACGATTTCATCTCGAGTTACTACCTCTTTTAATCCATTCGCGTTCCTTTTAATAACAATACGTTGAACGGCGACTTAAAATTGACGCTGTTCATTTTTTTCTGGGCTTCGTTGTGTCGCTCTAGAGATTCACGTTATATAAATTTATATACATATAGATAGACATACATATACGATAATCCTTCCGTCATTTCACTTGCGGTCGTTTCTGTCAATGTTGGATAGCTTCCATCAATCTTCGTTATAGAAAGAAGAGTAGGTACAAGAATATGACAGAGAAATATGGGAAAAGTGATTTTCAGAAAAATACAACAATTTAGAATATATAAAGCCTCAATTCGTATCTATATTGTCGGAACATGAGGTTTAATACGATCGTGACATATCGCGGTTTACCGACGAATATAAGGGAGCACTTTAGTATGAGTATAGCGTGCTTGAATGAGCTTGCGGAAGTGACTGCGGTGACGCGCTACTTCCCTCGTAAAATTACGCGTGCTGCAAAGATTTATGGGCGATAACGTGAGTATCTTACGTGTGAAAATCGAGAAAAATATTCCCTGCATGGCGCATGAAACACAAGAAGGCTATTTTAACGGGCGGGTGTAACGTCCGACGTTGGCTCCGGAAGAGATTCAGAAATGGAACGACATCTGATAGCGGGCCGTCGCGTCGCGTCGCGTCGTGAGAACCACTTTACCGTCGCACCGCTCATTGAAGAGTGGATAGATGAGTAGGCAGCTAGACTTTTGCCTTTCACGCGTCGCGGTCGGGCTAAGGAAAGGCGAGGGCTCTTGTAAAAAACGGAATTGCTTCCTTGAGAAACATGCCCTGCTTCCCGAGGCAAAGAACGGACAAGTGAAGCTTGAATTACTTTTAGCTGCAGATATATTCCTTAAGGGGATGATTTCTCCTGCGAGATACGTATATTTGTCTCCGTCTAAATTCACGATTCTAAATAGGATAAACGCGACGCAGGGCACGAATCTTTTTCTTTCTTATAAGAGACAAAATGTGATATACGAAGTGATTTATTTTATGTAAAATACAGTTTATTGGTAGTGCGTTTCCTTCTTTTTGATTCTTTTAGAATTAAAATTCCGTTTAATGAAAAAAATTTAAATTCCTGTCTCTCTTGTGCGACGAAATAATTATACATAAATTAACGATACGCATCACTGTTTTAATTCGATGATTTATATGCCGCTACTTTGTCGAACTCAATCCTAATAGGTATTCACTCCGAAGTTTCCTTAAATGTAGGTAGTTGCGAGTCCAGTGTATTTTAAGTTAATGTATCTTTGTTTAAAGTTAACGTAAGTGAGCGATTTTTTATTTTGAATGTCAAAGTTCGAGGAATAAAATTACATAACTTAAAATTATGTAAAACTGTGATGAAAAACATGTGTTGTAAATAATTTTTCGCAACGTAGTTGAAGAAAATGTCAGGGTCCACTGGAATACTGATTAGATTTAATAATAATAATACACATTACACAGGGTGAGTAAAAAATCTGCTATTCTTAATCTAAAGTAAATCTTATTTTTATTTTTGCACGGAAAATTCATTTTTATGTAAAGATGAAAATAAGATAAACAATCTCCAATGATTTGATCGTAACGAATGTTAAATCGATGTGACCTTAACCTGACCTTGGCGACGCCTTCCAAGGTCGGATTAACTAGATCAGTGAATATAGATCATTTAAAACCCCACAACTTTCGTAAGAAACATTTCTTTCGCGAAAATGCTTAGTTTTCGAGCATATTTCAGCGGTCTGGAACTTTTTACTCACCTTGTATAATGTATTTATAACGATACTATACGTTATACAATAATAATATTAATAACAATGAAACATTTTTGAAGTATGCCACGCGAAATACCGCATGCCACGCGCGCGCAAATTGCCAATAATAAATCTGAAATGCTCCATTAAGATTATGTCCATCACAAGAGAAGGATAATATGCTTTGATCCATATTTCTTACACCAAGAGATAATTTCTTGCAACTTGATATCCCACTTCGGACTTTATCTAGACAGGTTGATGAATTATTGAATTGAGCCGTGTATAACGGTAGACGCCACTTATGAGAGCGGCTCGTCAATGATGTAGGTATACTCGACGGGCATAAAAATGTTCGGACACGTGGCGAGAATCATCGAGTATAAGTGCATCGAGGGAAGATGAAGAGGTATAGTCCGCGTCGCGGTCATGAACAAGAACCAGTCGATTCGTTATCGGTGATACGAGAAATAGGATATCATGCCATGTAGAGAAGTAATGTTCAGCAAAATTTTCTTATAACCCCATTTTCGCGAAATATACTATTCACGTTGCGTTCCCATTGAAACTTTTGTATAACTTTTGATGACACTGTACTATTAGTGAATTCAACAGTATCTCTTCCCTTTGTCTTTTCAGTAGATAGGTAAAAATAATATATTGTGTGTTTATATATAAGAAAGTCACATTGACGTTTCAGTGAAATACGATCTCTGGTAAAATTTGAATTTTTCATTCAATCTTCAATTATTATTAATATTTTGTAAAATAGAACGTTAAACTTTTTTCTCTACTTATTTCTATATAGCCACTTTTATTGGGCTTTGAATGATTCATTTTATTATACAATTAAAATTATCAAAGTACAAAAATGATAAAAAAGATATCAACTTTTTGATATCCAAAATCAATTTGTTTTAAAGCGAAATTTTACTAATTTTTCGTGTCTCATATTCTCAATTATTTTAATATAAGATTATTACCTTTTTTATTTGAACATTAATAACTATTTTTTTTTTATAGAGAAAAGAAAAATGAGAAAAGTTTGAGCAGGGTACGGTGTAACGTACATGGGACGTTATTTGTTGTCCAGCGAGAATTCATCCAATGAATTCGTAATCTCCCGTAGGATTTATCTTTCGACATACGTAATATAATATGAAAAAGGTTAAAAGGAATTAATAATTAATGACAGAGAGATATTTTTTTGCACATATCTTACGACAAACGTAATCTTTTCTAAAATAAAAATTGACTCGTTTCATTTTTAAACGAAATATATGTATTTCGTCAAAAGGAGGGATATTTTAGCGTTTTCCATTGTTACTTTGGTATACAAAAGTACCTCGACAGAAGCGCCTAGTTTAATATTTGTTACGGTGTGTAACGTGGCGTATATTATATGTCTGCCTCAGATGAGCTCTATTCTATTCATTTTGACGATTCGCCAGGGGATATTTTAATACATAAACTGTGAGCGTCATTCGTGCATCACCTGCTGAATTTGTTTCAACCATAATCACAGTTCCTTTAGTAGTTACATAAAACTGAATAAACCGTATCACTAATTAACACGCATTTCACATAAATGTATAAAGAATACGCGTTGTTGTAATTAAAGATAAATTAAAGACAATTATAAATATCGTACTTATAAAAAGAAATTATTTTTATAGAACGATTACATCGCTCCTTTTTACTTCAAAAATGACACAACTCTGACAAAAAACATAATTTGAAGTTGTCACCATGAATGAGTTACGCAAACGTTAATCAATCATCAAATGAATTAACTTAATCTTATAAAAAAATGTCACAAAATTATCACAACTCAAAAGAGTGGGTTTTTTTTTTAAAGATTGTGAAAAGTAGAATGACATTTGATGAATGTTAAGAATATATTCTTTTTATTTTATTCGGTTAGTCGATAATTTTCTGTCAAGGTGAAAAATAGTTTTCGTCTTTTCTGGGAAACTCAATTTTGTACGCTATCACTTTTTAAGTAAAGAAGAAGTAGAAGTTCTTCCTCTAAATAAGTTTATTTACATTTCCAAGATACCGAAAAGTAAAAATAAGTAAAAAACTAGAAAATTAATTTACATGTTTCGAACGTTAATTATATGTTTAAGTACATTAAATGCACCTGATCATAATTACTTAACCATTTAATATCGAGTGGAATCATTTGCACAACAATTTGCGTTTGCGCTTCGCGATGCGGAATTTAATAAAAATCTTTGGTATCTGTGATTCTCTATTTGTTTATCTGTGTTTGAAGGCGATGGGAAAACCACGATGTGCCGCGCTATATGTACATACGTTCTCGCGTTGCATGCATCGCTAAGTCTTCCGTCTCGTTCCACTTTGAAATATTAATTTATGTGATACCCGTTACGCGAAAGTTGAACTTATGATTCACGACGTCGGTATCAACAATATTGAGAGGGTTTCTGCTTTGATACTGGTTTCCTTGGAGACCGCATGAAACCACGGCAAGAAAACGAAGAAGACGGGGAAACGTCATTACATACTTTTCTAATATTACAATACTCCATTTCTCCCAGACCTTCATTTTCTATTTGCCAATTACTTCGCTTTTTGTGCTTTCCTTTTGGTTCTTTTTAGCCGTAAGTATATTTCTCTAACTTTCTTAGAAACGGCTTTATTTTATGATTCTTAAATAAGAGACCAAACTTTGCATTCTATTTCTCTCTCTTCATATTTATTATATCTCTATTCTCTTTTCTTCATAATTGAAGACAAAACGTAGGATATTTTTACAAAAGATAATTTCAAAGAGAATATCTTGAATCATGTTTTATCGTTATAATATAAGAACGCGTGCGTATTTCTTGTATCGATAAAGTAAACTTACAACGCGCACGTAACGTTGCCTCTGAAAAGAATAAAAAAAAGTGGCAGATTTCTGCGGCATATTTCACTAATAATCTCTCCTCTATCTACACATTTACGACTTGACTTACCCTATGCATAATCGCAGTTCGCATTGTTATCCGGTCGATTATCAGCTCAGGGCGTTTAGAGTCGGCGGGAAACAGAAGGAAAGTATGCAAATAGATTAAACACACGCGGGGGGGGGGGGGGGGGGGGG